CCCCTCAGACAAATAACCAGGGTTTTACCTTCCGCGGCTATCGTCATCTTTTTTTATACTAAAGTTCACGACATTCATGGCTGGAAATCCGTTCAAAACCACTGTTAAAACAATGTATATAAATAGTAGAAAAAATGATAACTCACATATGAGCTAATTTTGGATTTTGTTGTATAATTTATATGCTCTGTTTTAATAAATACATTGAGCTCTTTTTATGGATCAGTTTTAATATTTGATATTATTAGGATCCACTTGGATTATATACCAACGGATTTATTACCTTTACTCTCTATACATACATACATACATACATACATACATACATATGTATATGTATATATATACATATATATATATATAATGGACTCTCCTGTAGGTTTCGACGTATGAGGCTCTGACAACTTAACCAGTTGATTCAGTTATGAAATTTTGTGCGATAATCTCAAGTGGCACTTAGAACCCACTAGTGATTTACAAAGGAAGCTGCATATGGAGCAAGAATGAAAATTGTGGGATGAGATCACAGTTCGATTGGCTGACCTTATAGATCTTGTTTTCGCTTCTTCAAAACGATTCAGACAAGCAGATTGAAAATTGCTGAGTTCACTAAAACACGTTGATCTCCATTCTACCCTCTACAAGGCTAAGCGCATATATATATATATATATATATATATATATATATGTATGTATGTATGTATGTGTATATATGAATGTGACTTAAAGTTAACACCTCCCAGAGGTGACAGTCTGTTTCCTGCTAAACGCAATCATTAGGCCCCGTGCGTTGTATTTTTGTTCGACTTTATATATATATATATATATATATATATATATATATATATATATATATATATATATATATATATATATATATATACAAACCAGTGATACATTGTCGGTAGTCTATTTCATTGTGATTAGTATATTGTCTTATTCTAACGGTTATTTTGGTACACGTGGTCTGTTGATTTGTTTATTATTTACTTAGTTTATTTACTTATTTATTTGTTTAGATTAATTTATTTACTTTTTTTAATTTATTTTTACTTATTCTTGCTCATTTTAAGTTTTCGATTTTTAAGTAGTAAAAATTTGTTTTCGTGTCTACAGTTTGAGATGAGCTCTGAGCGTTTATTTAGTAGCTTGGTTTAGTCTGGGAAGCTGATAATGAGTTTTTTTTTCCCCTGTTGGCAAAGTTAACAGTTTTTGGATTGATTGTTGTAGGCTGATGTTCTTTTCTTTATTTTCCATATTTTTGGTGTGATTTTTGTTTTTAATCAGATCAATTACTACTGAGTAGTGTGTTCGATCTCCACTGGGTGCCCGACATCACTTTGTGGCACTTCGACATGGTGTAATGGTTACCAACCTTTTCTCGCTCCATCCATAATGACTGTGTAGTGAGTTCGATCTTTACTGGGTATCCCATACTTTCGGCCTTGTATTACATCTAAGCTACACTTAGAAAATCACAATTTTTTGCCTTGTGCCAGATTATGTTAATTTTAGTCAATTTCAACTGGACAAAAACTGATGGCACAGTGAAAAACCTGCCCGACATTCATATAAAAACAAAAAAATACCAACCGAGTTCTCATTTTCCCCTCCTTTTGTTGATCTAGTAAATAAATGGTTATCATACGAAAGCAACGTCATAATTTTTTTGATGACTAACTAACCTGAGTTCCGACCAGTAGAAATCAAAATAAGCCTTGCATCTGTTTTGTGTGACTGACGAATAAGAGTTTGCTGTGAAGACGCAATTTATTAGAAGGGCAACGTGTGTGACCCAGAAAGAACGACCATAGCCTCGTTTCGGGAGGAAAACTAAAAATAATACTCTTCTTTCTTATCTCATCACTTATTTCGGCCGATTCATTCTAAAATAATTATTCTTCGTCTACCAGCCATGTACATTCATGGCTGTCCACAATTTCCTTCCCATTGCAGCTCTTAATAATTTGAATCTTCTTTTTTGCTATCTCTCCAAAACCCTGCTCCGTCATCCATTCACCCAAACTCGCTAGGCACTTATACATTCTTTGCCCTCTTGCCTTCAACCCGTCCTGTGAGTATCAAATTTTCCAAGCCATCTTTCCTCATTATGTGCGCTAGAAATTTCAACTGTTTCTCCCTGATATTAAATAACTATCCTTTTTGTATCCATTGTCTCTGAAACATCATCCTTGCTCATATGTTCGGAGTACCCAGAGCATCCTTTTGTAGAACCACATTTCTGTTGCTTCAAGTCTCTTCACCACTGTGGAGATTGTCCAGCATTCAGTGTGATATAGGAGGATTGATATTACATATCTGTCTATATTTCTGAGATGAGGTATTATGTACACTATTTACATTATCCGGACTATTGTTCTCATCTTTGTTGCCATATTTATTACAACTCAAGGGTAAATGGCACAATGGATAAAAGCGTTAGTTAGATTCAGTGACAGGACCCAAAGAGTGTGAGTTCAATACCCGGTTAAGGCAGTGGATAACTTTCAGAGAGAAATTGACAGGAGATAACTGATTACTGACACCCATTAGAGATGGCACGTGGAACTAGAACAGTTTACCCCAGTGAGCGAAATAAAAGGTTCAGTTCGACATTCCAACCACCTGAAGAGGGCCGGAGCATACGACGGCCGAAACCTTGTAATAAATATGGCAACAAAGATGAGGAAAATTGTCCGAATAATGTAAATAGTGATATTACATAACTTTCCAGTCCTCTTCTCTTTAATTCTAATGAAATTATTCTGTTTCTTAATACTTTGCTTAGCTTTTGGAAGACATATTTTACTATTTCAATGCACCTTAAGTGTGTGAAGTTGTCTACATCGTGTTAAAGCATGTTTACCTGTGCCACAAAATTTCTAATATCTAAAAAAACACTAACCGAATTTAGTTTCTTTTTTCCAGTTTTCAGATAAGACATTTAGTAATCTTGACACCACTTGTCATAAGAATCACTAAAAAAACTTTTCATTTATTCACCTAGAAAGAGAACAGTTTAAAATCTTCTTGTGTCAGCCACACTTTGTCTTCCAAACTGAGCAATGTTGAGAGAAAAAAAACATTCAGGCCTTCAGTAATGTTATCAACATTCTTACTATGGATTCCATCTTTAATGTCGATTCAAGAACAATCAAGAGAGCGGTGAATAAGTTTAAAAAAGAGAGATCAGTAGAGAGGAAAACTGGATTAGGAGGTCACAGCAGCCAGAGGGATCATTATTTCAACTTAAAGCTAAAGAGATCAGTTAGAAAACATCCAACTCAATTCATAAGACGTTTGGCACGTGAGAGAGGAGTTTCAGCTATGACAGTCCAAAGAGCAGGGAAAAAAGACTTGAAAATGAAATCGTACGAGAAACGTGTGAGGCAACTTGTTACTCCAGGACAGAAAGTTAGAAGGTTAGAGAGGGCGAAAATCATCTTGAATAAGTTGAAAATGACCCTGGAATTATATATATATATATATATATATATATATATATATATATATATATATATATACAATTAAACCTAAATATATAAATAAATTGGGAGGTTTATCTGGCTCTTTAGGTTTAATTAGGTTTGCTCTACTTAGCGTATTGAGCACTTTACTTAGTTATATTACTTACTCGTATCGGTTTTTTTTTTTTTTGGACTCTGAACTTGGATGCTAGACGATTGTTTTCGGCTGACGTATATGTTCTCTGTTCTTTTTTTTTTGTACCTTTTTTTTCCCTTGGGTATTGGTCTGTTTATTTATATATCAAAGTACCCATGCATTTCCGGACGAGTATAATTTCTTATATTTATAAAATTATTACTATTATATATATATATATATATATATATATATATATATATATATATATATATATATATATATGAACTTTATTTCAATCCTTCATGAGCTTCCGATCCTTAGCTATGATTAATTAATGATGAACATGTCATTTTCGTCTATGATCGATTTCATCACGATTCTTCTGTTAATCTTGGAGAGTAATTATACGTTCTTATTGCTCAATAGTGTTATAAAAAAACTCGGATAATTCCAGTAAGATATATTTAATCATTTCTAAGTTACAACGGTTCAAATGTTAATCTAACAATTGGACAATTTTGCTGTTACACGATTTGGACAATTTTACTGTTACACTTGATATTTTGATTTACTAAGCTTAGCTTAGACGGGGCACAAGGCCGGAAGTTTGAGGAGCGAAATCATTACTCAGTCAGAACTGATCTAGCGAGACAAGGTTGTTAACCATGCAAGCAGTCGGAAAATAACTTTTTTCTCTATCTCTTTCTTTCATTCATCACTAACCTACAATTTCTTTCTCTTCTGGTCTTTTTTTATTCGTTCTTTCATTTTTGCTTTCTCTCTCTCTCTCTCTTGTTCTTTTTAATAGAAGATATGAAATGGAAAAAACGGCTCTCTATCTCCCTTCAAGCATTTGTCAGGTCAAAGTCAATAAGAAATAAGGCTTCATCCGTTACCAAGTTTGCTAAGATCCATTTGTTGTCTTCTTTTCTTTCTGTCTCTCTCTTTTTAACATTCCGCCCTCCCAAAAGACGATAATGCCACTATGACGCAAATGGTTACTAGAAGCGAAAGAGAATTACAAGAATTTACCGAAGAGAGGAAAAAGGACAATGATAAAAGAACAGGTTTCAGGAAGACAGAAGATGGCGATTGGAGATGAATTTAAATTTTTGAAGATTGTAGTTGGCAGGGAAGCAAGACATCGGAATGGCGTTTTACCAACAAGAAGTGCGAGAAAAAAATTATTACAATAGAACATCTAGCTAGTTCAACAGTAAAACAGTGAGACCTATCAGCAAATCTAGTACCAGGGAGGAATGCTCATCAGAAAAATGGCCATTAAATTATTTGTAGAAAAGACAGAAGGATATCACGTCACGTCGGTGAGGAAGTGTATGTAAATACGTCCAATCGCATATAAAGATTTTATCAACGGGACGTTTAATGTTTAATTATTCGTGAAAAAGGGAGACGAAAGAAAGGAGAAGAAGAAAGAAGAGAAAAGAAATAGAAGAAGAAGAAGAGAAACAGAAGACGACAAAAGAAAGAAGAAGAAGAAGAGAAAAGAAATAGAGGAAGACAAAAAAAGAAAGAAGTGAAAAGAAATAGAAGACGACAAAAGAAAGAAGAAGAGAAAAGAAATAGAGGAAGACAAAAAAGAAAAAGGAAAGAAGACAAAAGAAATAGAAGACGACGAAAAAGAAAGAAGAGAAAAGAAAGAAGAAGAAGAGAAAAGAAATAGAAGACGACAAAAGAAAGAAGAAGAAGAGAAAAGAAATAGAGGAAGACAAAAAAGAAAAAGAAATAAGAGAAAAGAAAGAAGAAGAAGAGAAAAGAAATAGAAGACGACAAAAGAAAGAAGAAGAAGAGAAAAGAAATAGAGGAAGACAAAAAAGAAAAAGAAAGAAGAGAAAAGAAATAGAAGACAAAGAAAGGAGAAGAAAGAAGAGAAAATAAATGGAGCAATACAAAGGAAAGGGGAAGAAGAAAGAATAGAAAAGAAATAGAAGAAAACGTAAGAAAGGAGAAGAAGGAAGAAGAGAAAAGTAATTGGTTTGGGTTGTTAAGAGTTCTAATATTGATGTATGTTTTCTTCAACCCAAATTTACAAAGGACTTTATTATTAATATTGAACTTAGACAGGACAAGTTAACAGCTTTGGAATCACAGTAAATATTATGAAAATACTTTTATCATTAATACGAAATGGAAGAATAACATACACAGGCATAAGGTTGCGTGCGGGATGAGTACAATGGCAAATATATAGAAATAATAAATGCTGACTGATTCGGGTCCTCTTTGTTTTGACAACTGGAAATGTGGAACGTGAAAGCGGCGAACCGTGTTCGAATTCCAGTCAAAATCGTTGAATTCCCTTTCGCACAAACGCAAAAAAGCCATCGCGTCTTCTCCCAGCTCTGGGTTAAATAGCAGAGCAGGGTGGACGCTAGCTGGCAACCAATATATCAGAAGGCCAATTCTGAAATTAAAGCGGTATATGGCGCTTGTCTTTAGATACTTGAACTGAAACTAAGTTCTGTCCAGTGTAGTTGCAGTAGAGACAACTGGTTGGTCCTGTGGGTGTTGAAGAAGCACTGATGGGCCTGAGCAGATTGGCATGTCCAGAAGCTTGCACCCAGGCTGAAGATGTGAAATGACACTAATCGGCAGGGTGTCTTCAAGTCGAAACAGCACTGATGATAACGATTTAGGTACTCAAATGAAAACTGTTAATCATAAGTGGTCCTTTTCAATCAAGTTCGATGCTAAGTAAGAATTTTTACAAGAGTCACGCAATACAAGTCAAGAGAGTCTCTGGAGGTGGAGACAGCCATATTGTTGCAATTGTTACGATAAATCAGATGGGTAATTTGAATGAAAGAGGAAGAATGGGATGTAAAGAGGATAAAAGCGGGTAAAGTGGGTAGATATTGAGTGATGCTTAATTTGAAAAGTTAATTTCCAACAGATTGAAATTGAACAGCGGCCGTCTTTTTTGTTTTACGTATATCAGGAAATATTTTGTACAATGAAAAATGAAATTAGGTATCTACCCTGCTAAACTGTATTACTTCATTTCAAAATTCTTCTTCAGCAGTTTATTGAACCTGATATCACAGATAGGATTTATTAAACAGACACATTGAAACGTTCATTCACTCTAACAATTTTACATATTATTTATATTTTTATATATTTACACGATTGAGGTGTGATATAAATGAAAAATAGGAGGTTCTTGTCAGTGACGATTATGAGAATAAAGAGGATAGACAATGGTTGACCCTTGATTTGAAGAGTTTAATATTTTAATGTTCAGGGCAGCATCTATGCGGGAGTTTGTTCTGAGTGGAAAAAAAATGAGGCCTATTCGGACCCGACTCCTAGGTGTAAAGGTCTGAACTTGTGGAAGTAAAGAGTGGAGCTCATTTGAACATTTGCCATGGAAATAGTGATAAGGTATCACTGGTAATATTTTTTGCTTCAAAAATATATTGTTGGTAATATTTTTTCTTTCCAAAAATTCATTGCTGGTAATAATTTTTTACAAAAGTGTATTGCTGATATTAAAACCTATTTTTACACTTTCATAGTATTCTGAACCCAGTCTGGGCCGATGGTTAACTATTTTCCCATAGCTGGGAACCTAACAGGTGCTACTACCCCCAGGGAAGGGTTGACCTGGGAACAACAGCAATTAAGAGGTGGTTCCACGCTCCTCAAAACCTCCTGATCAGAGGCCTGGCTGTTGGGTGTAGTTTATCGTCTTACCCAAAACGCGGATATAGTCTATTGTCTTACCCAGTACGACCCTTTATTTAATCAACGGGGGTAGATCGTTGTAATTCCACGTGCCATGCTTTTATTTATTTATTTTTAGATATCTCAGTTTCTGTTAATTCCCTTTAGTAAATCATCTCTGCTTTGGCCAGGTATTGAACTCACAACTCTTTGGGTCAAGTCACTTTTCGGATAACTCAACCAAAGCTTTTAGCCATTGGGCCAAGTGTCCTTGTGGAGAGTACAACGTTGTGAATATGTCAATAAAGACGAGGACAGATATTGGAAGATTGGAGTGTTGTGCATGTGGGGAAAAGGTTTCAGAGTGGAGAATATATCCCACATAATACCACGTGAAAAGCTTACGGCTATATCATGTTAAGACAATGGTCCCTGTGAGATCATCGAAGTTAAGAAACGTAGAGCCTGGCCATTACTGAGATGGGCGACCGCTTGGAATATCAGGTAAGCTTCATTATATTCATTTACACGCAAATTCTTTTGGGAAAAGCATGAATCCATTTCATCCTCCCCCAGATAAGGGCTAATCAGTAAGACTTGTATCACTGAACCCTTATTATTTCCCAAAAACATTCTTACAATCTAAAGACACTTCTTGCAAATATAAACCTTCAAAGGGTTGATAAACCGTAGAAAATGAATGGATCGATAGCCTGTAAACAATTTTGAACTCTATCAATGGTGAAAAGTCAATTTGGAGTTTTTTAGTTTATTGTTTCCTATCGTGTCTATTCCTCCCAATCTATTGTGACGAAAGTCAACCAAGAGCTCTCTACAGGAGATACATTGACTGCCTCCCAATAAGGCGGTTTTTAAGCTAGTATATATATATATATATATATATATATATATACACAAACATATATATATATGTTTTTGTATATATATATATATATATATATATCATAAAATTATAGCTGTAAGGCATGTTACATTTATGGCTTAATGCACTCAATAACATTGACAGAGCGGATGTAAAGGGACATTGAAGTCAACACCCAGCGGTGAAAGTCTGTTTCATGCTTAAACGCAATCGTCAGACTATATATATATATATATATATATATATATATATATATATATATATATATATATATATATATATATACAAATATAATTTATTCTATGCTATATTTATAAATAAAACTTGATAAAACTTGTGAATGTCAGGGATACAGCGTGTATTTTTATAACCTTATAAAATATTTGATTAAAAATAAATCCATTACCTCTTTTATATATATATATATATATATATATATATACATATATATATATATATATATATATATATATATATATATATTATGCACTAGCTACCTTAGACAAGAAACGCCTAATGTGGAAATCCAACAATTGATTAGGTAATCCGTTTTTAATCAGCGTTTGCTTTATAGCAAAAATACAATTAATCTATTTTATAAAAATCAGATGAACGAAAATTATAAACAGGATTAATGCAGAATTAAGAACATTATAAAAAGATGCATGACACCAGTTGACAATAGCAAAAAAATTAGATTAATTATTTATTACAAAAAATTTAAAACCTCTAACCTCATAGTTAAAAATAATAATTCACCTCCTAGAACAAAATTAAATAGGGCAAATATTATTTACGAATTTAAATGACCATTAAGGAATTTATCCCTGATCAATCAAAATTCGTAAATAAGTATATAGGCTACACTACAACATGTTTGACACGCAGACTCACTCTACACCTTTCTGGCAATAGCTGAATTAGATCTCATTTAAATATTCACGGAGACCTACCAGACATTATTCGGAACATACTTGTCGACAACACTAATAGCATCATCTACATGCAAAAAAAGGCTAAAAATAATGGAAGCCTTATTAATAAAAACAAACAAACCAACACTTAATAATATTAACTTCGAACATGGACATAATATCTTGACCGTGTTTTGAAACAAAAAAAAAATGAAAACATTTTATAAAACATGCATACAACAAACTATTTCTAATTTTCACAGTTAAAATATAATCCTTGAAAATGTCTAAATATAAATCGGAAAGCGCTCGGATAAAAAGAACATTCGGACAGTTTTTATATAATTTATCATCCAAAAGGAAAAAAAAATATTAGATCGCATGGGAAATTGTATGAAAAAACTAAATAAAATCACCTTGTCTGTCGTTTTCAATGAAATGTGCATGAAAGAAGGATTGCTGCCTAAATAGACAAATATATATATTAGTGTACTTGTGCTATCAAAAATGACAACAATTGTTAGAAAGTTTTAATAGTGAGATGCAATGAAACAAAAGCCTTGAAACCATGTATTGAGAATAAAGCAGAAATAAAAATAAAAAAATTCACAACTAACATGGAGTCCAGTGAACAGTTTAATTAATCTGTTCCTTTTATATTTTTTAGATGTTCAGTCGTATCGATGATTAACTGATGACTCCTGGTATTATATAAATCGCCTTTTGCCTAATATATTTTCATGTTAAAAATATCATGCGTTTAAAATAACAGTAAAATAGAAATATCCCTCAGAAGAAAAAAATTAGCAACAGAACGACGAAAATAGCGACGACAAAGCCTATTTCAAGATCAAGTTGAAGCAAGACGATCATTTAATAGACAAAAGTATTTGAGTGCCCCACATGAAAGGCTTGAACAAATAAGACTGCAATCGAAGAAACGTAGGAGTAAATAAACTGTTTAATCAAAGTTTTCATTTTGCTCCGGAATTAATTTTGTTTAATTGCATATAAATATCTTATTTGTATAGATTATTAAAACGAGTAATATATCTACTAACTTAAGTAGATTTACCTCCCTCCCCATACAGATGGGACAGAAAATATATAAATAAATTCACAATAAAGTATAAATCGATACATATTAATAATTATTATATGATTTGGACATTTTCATGTAAAGTTTTATAGTATTTTTAAATACTATCGTTATTCAGAAACCAAAATATTTTCTCCAACTTTCTGCGACCTTACACCAACTTTCATGTCAATTACGCATTACGTATGGCTAGTGGACAAGTTTTGACAAAATCATTTATTCAAAAAAGACATTCAACTTCACTACTTAATTGACGTTTTACGGCTTATCAACCTTTTGTATTTTATTTATAGAAAATATTTTTAGATCGTGCGAATTTTGGGGGTGATAATACTGATACAAGTCTTATTAATTTAGTGATTTACTGATACAAGTCTTATTAATTAACCCATAGCTGGGAGATAACAGGTGAATTCCTACCTTTCTCAAGGTTATTTTCGCGTAAGTGAATATAACGAACCCAACTGGAATTGAACTCGGCTCTCTGTTTTCCAATTCCGAGACGTTATCCATTATACCAAGCAGACATCTAAGCTTGCAGTACATGGTATTTTCAAGCGGTCACCCATATAGCACTAACTTAAATGGAGGTTGCTTAACCTCGATCTCGTACGAGGACTAAAGTTACAACGTGATAAGGCTGTAAGACTCCACTGATGAAAAGGTATTCTAATGTTTGTTCATTGTGATACTGATTTTGCGAAGTGGTATGGCTGAGATTTTTTCAGCATCACGATGTATACTTTCATGGCATCACCAAATTTTCTAATTATTAAATTATTTTTCTGGGCTTTCTATGAGACGATACAACTTTTCAGCTAAATTGTACATTCTGTTATAAAGAGCGATACCGGTTTGGGTCTCATGACTCTTTTGAAGTCTTTTCTGATGTTTTATATCTACAACTTCCTGGAACTATTCGACCTCTGTATGCTGCAAACCCGGAAATAATTGAACCTGGCAGATCTGAATTTTAGACAGAATTTTTTGTACGACTTATTTTTCAGCATCACGATATATTCAGTCATGGAACCAAATGTTCATGATTAAATTATTTCCCCAGACTTTCAATGACGTGTTACCACTTTGCAGCTAAACTGTGCATTCCATTATAAAGAGCTATACCGGTTTAAGTCTCATGAATCTTTCGAAGTTTTTTGTTTGTTATATTTTCAATACATTTTCAACTTTACATTTACAGGTTATTGAAATCTAGAATATATTTTTAGATTGTACAAATTATTTCTCTATAATAACGATCTTCTGATACAAATCCTACTAATTAGCTCGTATAATAATTAATAATTGATCCTACTAATTAACCGATAGCTATGAGAAGAGGTATATTCGTACATTCTCAATGGTATTTGCTCATATGAATATAACAAACACTCCTCGAATTGGAACTCGGCTGTCAGATCTCTAATGTCATGCATTATACCAGATGCAGATCCAAGCTTCCCAAGATTCTATTATAAAGAGCGATACCGGTTTGGGTCTCATGACTCTTTTGAAGTCTTTTCTGATGTTTTATATCTACAACTTCATGGAACTATTCGAGCTCTGTATGCTGCAAACCCAGTAATAATTGAAACTGGCAGATCTGAATTTTAGACAGAATTTTTTGTACGACTTATTAAGCTTTAGCAGTTTATTTAATGATAGAAATATTTTTAGAATTTTTTGGAGATAATAATCATTTACTGATACTAGTCCTACTAATTAACCCATAGCTTTGGGGAGAACAGGTGCATTCATGTCTTTACCAAGAGTATTTGCGCGTAACTGAATATAAAGAACACAACTCGAACTGGAATTTGGTTTTCTAATCTCGAATTCCGAGCCGTTGTCTACCAGAACCACTCGCACATCCCAGCTTATTATTCCCAATTGGTCGCCCATCCAGGTACTAGTCAGACGCGATGTTGGAAGGATCTGGAGGATCACCATATGTAGAAGAACATCCTAAGCCAGGTATATGTTTGTTTGCTACACCGTATTTGTAACTTGAACTCATGCAAATAAATCGGTCTAAATCGGGCAGAAAATGATGCTTTGGGTGCAATTCAAATAAGCCAGTTTCTCACAAGAAATTTCCCAAGTCTCCGGCAATTCTTAATGCAGAAATTTGAATCACTCTAGTCGGAGAAGAATGTTGTCCATATTTAGATTTTATTTACGTTAAGGAGTTAAATTCTTCCCTCGGTCTAACCACAGCATTTTTTTTTTTTTTCGTTTAGGATTCTTGTAATAAATTCGTTGTTCGTCGTCAGTAGCCGTTTTGTCTGGAACGATATCTTTCCTTGTCTATGGCTCAGAAAACGTTTACTTTTAAAACTATAACGATGAAAGCGTTTTATTCAATTAAAAGAAAACTTTAATGCAATATGACAAGCACAAAACAGTCAAATGTTACCTCTAAAGACATATATCATCAAATCCAATCCGTTTTATTTGAGGCTCCAACATTGTGCGCCACACACGTAAAACTGAAAGCACGTGACTGGCTTATCAATGAATGCAGACGATAAAAAATTATTTTGCTTCCACGTTGTAATATTTCTGCCATCTGTTGATGAACCAGGCTACTAAATAAAATGGGTAGACAATTGCGTTGTCCTCTATATTTCTGTGAAGATGAAAAGATGGCATTAAAAATAGACCTACCACGTAGAAATGCAGTGAAGTTAGTAACGACATTTAAAAGGGTTAAACACTGATTAATATCGCTTTTTGTAGGTGGAGCTCATTATTCTTGCTTCGAAATTTTTCCCATAAGGAATATTTTAAATATTAAATTGCAATCGACAATTGAACAAGTAAATCGTTGAATAAACTTAAACATCATTTCTAAGTTTCCCCAAACTTTGTACAATTGATGTTAGTGGAAGCTTTCGCATAAAACCTAATTTATTTTCCTTCCTGTCCCATGTAACTCTAAGCAACATTTGGCTCCTTACCATTCCTGTATTCATACAAACTGTAAGTAGTTTACCCGATGTTTCACTCTGCCCCTTCTTTTCCTCTATTCATCACGTGAGTGTTACATTTTCCACGCACTCTTTCTGCACAATGTGACCCAGAAATTTCAACTGCATCTTTCTGATTTTAAGTATAAGATTCCTTCTAGTTTCAATGTTCTTTATAATTTCGTATTCTCAACATCCTCCTGTAGAATCATATTTTTGTCGCTCGAGATTATTCTCCATCTGGAAGTAAATTATCTTGCATTTACTAACTTATCGGGGGATAGATATGGGAAAGCAATTCATCGAGCTTTACTTTATTTCAAACGAAAATTCTGTCTTGATACTTTGCTTAGTTTCTCGAAGGCATATTTTTCAATTCCGCTGCGCCTTCTCTTTTTTCTTCTTTTTTTTTTAATAAATGCCCTTCGAGCAAGGCGACAAAATCGCTATGATGCAAGGGGATACTGGGAGTGAAAGAGAATTAATGGACTTTAGAAGGAACCAGAAACACAATCCTAAACAGGAAAAGAGTGATATACTTCTACTCTTGTTCAAAAGACCGAGGAGGGGTGCGAAAAGGGCGATAGGCGAAAATAAATAAATATTAAATAAAATTTCATAGTTTGGGCGGAGACATTGAAGCAGACTTTAGACAGGAAACAGGGGATAAAGATGGAGACCCGGTCAAAAGAGCGGGGAGGACAAGAACCGGGCGATAGGCGAACCTATTTACTTCTGCTAAGGAAAAAAATGAGTACCAAAATAGGCTACTATTGTTGATAATTGTTCGATATCGAAGATTGATTTGAAGGTCAGGTCATTTGTCCTTTCATGACGTATACTGAATCGGGTGACTGAGGGCCTACTGATACGACTGAGTGATCGATTCGTTTCTTACGGTTTTCTAAACTGTTGCAGGTTATTTAAAGAAAATATTTTAGATTGTAAGAATTTGCAGGGGGTAATAGTGGTTTAGTCATTCAAGTCTTACTAATTAACCCATAACTGGGGGAGAAGAGGTGAATTCATACCTTTCCCAACGGGAATTGGAACTCGGCTCTCTGATTAAAAAATTCCAAGACATTATCAATTACACCTACCGTACATCCAAGATACTGACCTGGCTCGATGTTGCTTAAAATCGGTGTTTCAATGTAAAGTGACCGTAAGCCTGCCGATACTAGAATGATAGCACCTTCCACAGTGGCACCAGGGAAATATCTGGTCTTGAAGGAGCATGGGCGCAGTTCTTTTGTTTGTTAACGTTTAGTTCTCCTTTTCTCCGGGCTGGCGCGGTGTTTTGCCTCAAAATTGTTCACAGCTTCGCGCATCGGGATTCGCCAAGCCTGATAGCCAGTAGCATACATGGTCCATTAGCGGGAACTGGTGTTACTCAGTGTGAGTGCCGCCTTAAGGGCTGCTAGTGCTGTTTCAGTTAAATATTCTTTTTTTTTTTTAGTTACAGCTGTCATTTCATTTTATTTCACTTTTTCTTTTTTGGGCGAGTAACTTTATACTTCTTTCAAAACAGCGTTTTACAATTAATTTCTTTTTTTTTTCTGTCGCTTCTTATAACATTTTCGAGCCACGTATTCTTCGGTTTGCAGATTAAATTGTGGAAATTCGAACGAGATTTGAATCTGCAACTCATACCGCAGGAACTTATGGTATGTAGCAAGGCCAACGTGACCAGCAAGATTCGGTGGCTAATATAGTTGAGATTTTGGAATCAGTAAAAATGAATGTAACTGCCTTCGCTTTGATCTGTTCTGTGTCAATTGTTTTTTTTAACCAATATTCACCTCATACAAGACCCAAATTTTATCGAAGGAATTTGTTGTGTGATCTGTAAGAATAAGTTCATGAGGGTATGTTGGTAAGAGAACAGTTAATCCTAGACTTAAAGAGGTTAAGATTGTTGCAGTTTTTTTATATATAATTAGTGAGTTAGCCCAAATGACGACTCACTTTATAGTCCACCAACAGAAGGTTAACCAATCAGAAGACGTAGAACATTCAATCCGTCGTGTATAAAGGCGGCCATTTTGTCTACTCTACCCGAATGTCCAGTCCAGTTTGTCAGGCGAAGAGATAACAGAAAGACGAACTACGCTCTGCTACTTTTACCAAAATATCCACTGCTAACCTGAACAACGCTTTCTTCGAAATATTCACTGCTAACCTCTGGATTCTATACTCGAAGATGACCGTCATCATGAACAACATAGATTGTAGTGGTCATCAAAGCATCCTCTTGAGGGTCGATTCCACAAATGAATGTGGAAGAAGCTGTTCCAATGCGAAGGATGGTTCGTCACAGTGTGCGTGGCCTGGTGGGTTTGATATCCTTGAGGGTTAAACTTGACGGAACTAACTTAGTACGAGCGCAAACTTCTAAATTGCCTAAGTTTGTGTCTGGAACTATTTTCCTTGCGCTACTTAAATGCCCGTCCTATTTTCCCTCTTAACTGGATACCGGTAACAAGAGCCACAAAATCTTACGGCCGTATCACGTTGAAACACCGGTTCTCGTACGTTCACCGAAGAAGCAGCATCGAGCTTGGTCTGTACATAGATGGGTGTCCGCTTAGGAATCTTGGGAAGCTTAGATCTGCATTTGGTATAATGCACGAAATTAGAGATCTGACAGCCGAGTTCCAATTCGAGGAGTGTCTGTTATATTCATATGAGCAAATACCATTGAGAATGTACGAATATACCTCTTCTCATAGCTATCGGTTAATTAGTAGGATCAATTATTAATTATTATACGAGCTAATTAGTAGGATTTGTATCAGAAGATCGTTATTATAGAGAAATAATTTGTACAATCTAAAAATATATTCTAGATTTCAATAACCTGTAAATGTAAAGTTGAAAATGTATTGAAAATATAACAAACAAAAAACTTCGAAAGATTCATGAGACTTAAACCGGTATCGCTCTTTATAATGGAATGCACAGTTTAGCTGCAAAGTGGTACCACGTCATTGAAAGTCTGGGAAAATAATTTAATCGTGAACATTTGGTTCCATGACTGAATATATCGTGATGCTGAAAAATAAGCCATACAAAAAATTCTGTCTAAAATTCAGATCTGCTAGGTTCAATTATTTCCGGGTTTGCAGCATACAGAGGTCGAATAGTTCCAGGAAGTTGTAGATATAAAACATCAGAAAAGACTTCAAAAGAGTCATGAGGCCCGAACCGGTATCGCTCTTTATAACAGAATGTACAATTTAGCTGAAAAGTTGTAAAATTTGGTGATGCCATGAAAGTATACATCGTGATGCTGAAAAAATCTCAGCCATACCACTTCGCAAAATCAGTATCACAATGAACAAACATCACGTTGAAACATTAGTCCTCGTACGATCTTCGAGGTTAAGCAACGTCGAGTCTGGCTAGTACTAGATGAGTGGCCGCTTGGGAATATCAGGTGCTGTAAACTTGGATGCCACGGCTCGAATTTGGAAAACGGAGAGCCGAGTTCCAATTCCAGTCGGGTTCGTTATATTCACTTACGCGCAAATACACTTGGGAAAGGTTTGAATTTATCTCTTCTCCCCCAGCTATGGGTTAATTAGTAAGACTTGTATCAGTAAATCATTATTATCACCCCAAAAATTCGTACAATTTAAAAATATTTTCTTTAAATAACCTGCAAAAGGTTGATAAGCCATAACAAATTCAATGAATAAATCCAACAGTGAAGGAAGCTGTTGATTTTTCAGCGTCCACTATTGTCAAAAATACCGAAAACCTGTCCACTTACTAAATGTTATGCATAATTTATAGGTCTTTCTTTCTTTCTATTTCTTTTCGTACCTCTGTCTTTACTTTCTTTCGATTGGTATCTTTCTCTTTTACTAGTCTTTTTTCTAGTGGTTTCTCTCTCTCTCTCTCTCTCTCTCTCTCTCTCTCTCTCTATATATATATATATATATATATATATATATATATATATATATATATATATATATATATAGTTTCGTTTGGTATCCCTCTGTTTGTCTGTCTGTTTTCCTTTCTTTTCCTTTCTTACACGCGAGGCCAGGGAAAGTTGGAGAAAATTTTTGCTTTCTTAATAATAATAGTATCTAAAAATACTGAAAATATTACAATACTCGTTTTCAACAGTGACGGCTTACGGCCATATCCCGTTGAAACATCGATTCTCATACGATCATCAAAGTTAAGCAACGTTGAGCCTGGTCAGTACGTAGATGGGTGACCACTTCGGAATACCAGGTACTGTAAGTATGACCGTATTATAAATGATAATAGCTCGAAATTAGAAATTGGCGCTCCCGAGATCCAATTGTGTTAGTTACATTCACTTAGGCGCAATTATGTGGCGTCGCTCTGTTAAAGCCAATGCTTGTTCCTTGTTAATTGCAAAAACATTGGTAGTAGTAGCAGACAAATCATGCCAAATTGCTCGCAGAAATTTCAGGCTTCCAAATCTAGTTAACAACATTTCTTTCCTTTCCGTATTATTCCACGTTTGAGTAATTGCCTCGTAGATGCTCCTGGGCTGTTTAAATAGACCCTTTTACCTCATCCTTAGAAACCACTGACCTCTGCAATTATACTTCTTGTGTAACTCCTGCTAATTGATCCGTTCTGTCGGCATTCTGGGAAGGTTTGTGCAACTATCAGACTATAACAAACGGTAGACACTATGATTGCTCACTTGAAGGCTTTCACAAAGTTCTGCAAAAGTAAATCGTCTGCCATCTGTAATGAGAACATCAGCCTGTTTGGCTTTATTCCTACTCACAGTGTAGCAGTAGGCCTGTCACTGTGCTGCTCGTCATTAAGGTCAATTTATCTCGGAATGCAATTAACTCTACTGACCCATTTACTTACTGTTCTTGTATCAAGTATCCATAAATATTTACTAATTTCCTATCGATGTTTGCAGCAATGTATACATCTCAAAACAGAAATTCTATGACAGTTCTGTACTTTCTACGTGCATCTAAAAATGAAGCCATTTTGAAAGTGGTTTATAGATGAGAAAATCTTGCAAAATATATTGGTTACCCATGTGTTTCTGTTTAGCGAGAAGCAACCAGCTTTTTGTATTCTTCAACTTTTTCAAGCAAATATCGTTCGATAGTTGAGAACGGAGAGAAAATACATAGTCAAATTTCAGTGGTATAAATTTACAAGGTATGTATTTGATTTTTCGTTATTTTTTACCCTGAAAACATTGCTACACAGAACACTTTTCTGGCATATTAAAGTTTGCGTCTGTGTGTATCAGGGTATGTAGAACGCACTAGCGACATATTGGAAGACAGTATGAAGCGGCCTATAGGATAGGTTGAAGGACAGATGCACAAACGGCTTATGACCCTGACTCAATCATATGTTTTTATTGAATGATCCTCCCCCAGCCATTTCCTCTTCAGACCAACAAGGCTGAAATTCCAAATTAATTTTTTCAAGCAAATATCGTTCGTTTGTGCATAAAGTTAAGAAAACACATGCAAATCAAGACTAAATCATTTCCCTACGAATCACTCATGAAATTTTAAAGCTAAATGAAATAATTAATGTCTTCAGGATCTCAACATTTTTTACTCCATTGTTCTTTATTTATATCTAGTAGTTTCTTTCTTTCTTTCTTTTTTTCTCTCTGTCTGACTTTCTTTCTCTGACTTTCTTTTGGTATCTCTCCGTCTTTAAATTCTTTCTTTCATTTATTGTCTCTCTGTCTTTCTTTTCTTTCTTTCTAATGGTTTCTCTTTGTATATATATATATATATTCTTTCTTCCTTTTTGTGGCATCAATCTGTCAGTCTTTCTTTTTTTTCTTTCTTTCGTTCGTTCTAGTGATTTCTCTCTGTTTTAACATTCTTTCTTTCTTTTAGCATCTCTGTCTTTTTTCTTTCTTTCTTTCTCAAGGTAAGGATCTAACCAATGCCTTTATCCACTGTGCCATGTGTCCTTGAGAATCCGGAAGAGAGTCCCACGAGTGAGAAGTGCGAAAAAAAAAAACAGTTGACATAGAACTTACGGTTACATCTAGCTAATTCAACTGTGATTTGATTAGATTTAGCAGCCAATCTAGTACTGCGCTTATATATATATATATATATATATATATATATATATATATATATGTTTGTCTGTCTGTTCTTTTCTAAGTCCATATATATTTTTATCTCTCTATCTGTTCATTTGTCTGCTATATTAAGCTTTCTCATTTCTGTCTGTCTGTTTGTCTGTTTACGTCACACTCTTTCTCTCGCTCTCTATCTCGAGCTATTCTTATTTATTTATCTACGTCTCTCTCTCTCTCTCTCTCTCTCTCTCTCTCTATATATATATATATATATATATATATATATATATATATATATATATATATATATATATATTCATTCAATTCTCTCATTCCTATCTCTTTCTATCTCTTTTTAATCTGGAATTAATTTCCGTCTTCAAGGACATTTTCCAGTGCGTCTGTGTCAAAACGGGAAAGGTGGTGAGGATTTAATTTAAATAAAATAAAATAAAATAAAATAAAATAAAATAAAAACATGATTATCCCAACTGATGACTTTCATCTGCCTTCTCAGAGAGGCAATCTATTGAAGATGCAAACTAAAAAAATACGAACGCAGGAATACCTTGAATTCCTTTCCATCCGTCTATCTATCTATCTATCTATCTATCTATCTATCTATCTATCTATCTCAATCTATTCATTTCATTTATCGCTATCTTTATATCTATATGTCTGCATCTATGTGATTTTTTTTTAAGTTATTGATACCGTTTATCACAACGTTCGAGTTTGGATACCATGACATTTAACAAGGCGATTAGAAAAATAATTAAAACGATAACAAATTATGGTATCGACTAATAGAATATCACACTAATATACCGAAACTTTACGGTGTCACTAAAACCCACAAAACAGACATCCCAATACACCCCATAGTTTCAGGAATAGACAGCGCTCCTCACAAACTGGCGAAATCCATAACAAAAATTTTAACCCCACCTCTTGGAACAATCAGCTCATTACATATCAAAATATTCCGGTATTCAACTAAAGTGAAAAAATATGTCTGGCAAACGCATGACCAGTCTAGATATAAAATCTCTTTACGCCAAAAAGATGCAAAAAAAATCTTTAACGGCTAAAAAGATGCTTAAATCTCTTTAAAAAAAACAAAAAGCATTTAACACAATCAAAGTTAAACCTCTCCTTATAAATAGCTAAAATAATACCAAATCTGCCGTCTCATCACCAATCAATGCTATTTCACATCTTTATAATACTAAAACTCTGTGAACTTTGTTTGCTTGCTTGCGTGCAAACGAAGTCATATAGTGAGAGTTGGGGAAAGAAAGATGTAAATTTATTATCGTGTAGGGAGAGGGGGAGAAAAAGCAATGTTGCGTATAATGATTTAAGCTTCTTTCTATCTCTCTCTTTCCATGTCTCTCTTTGCAGCTCTCTCTCTCTTTCCAATTCTTTCTCTTTTCACCTCTCTCTATTTCCACCTCTCTCTCTCTTTTCACTTCTCTCTTTACATCTCTGAAATTTCGTGCGTGCTTATTTATATTTACGCTTTCTTTAAACAATATTTTAAATATTTAAAAAATATTTTTGCCATATTTAAAAAATATTTTTCGCCATATTTAAGAAATATTTTTGCCATATTTAAAAAATATTTTTTGCCATATTTAAAACATATTTTTTGCCATATTTAAAACATACTTATTGCTATATTTAAAAAATATTTTCAAGTCAGTATGTTTTGAAAATATCTTTTGGTATATTAAAAATGTATTCTTAAGTTAATGTAATTTATAAAATATTTTAAGTGAATAAGATGTAAAAATACGAGTTCTTTATACAGTAAGTACTTTTTTTTATTTCAACTTTCTTCAAACTGGCAATATTTTAATGTTGAAATCAAACTTCAATGTTTTATAAATTGAACTGTTAGTGACCCAACGGGTCACGGGTAGTCTAGTTTAATAATAATCTTTATGAACAAAATGTTAGATCGACTCTTAGTGGAGTGATGCCATGATGGTATTATTTTCTTAGAATTTCTCCAATTTTGTCCTTCCAAAATATTTTACCTAAACAATCAACCGATATTCTGATGAAGCCCTATTAATACAGCCTCGTGATAATGATTTACCTGATTTTGTAGAATTAACTGAACAAAGTCGAACATGCAATAGAGTTTACATACGAAATGCAAGAAAACCCTACTTTACCTTTCCTAGATATCATGCTGCACCACGTTAACAATCACTTAAAAATAAACTAGTAAAAATGATCTCATAAATTTCTATTCCCATCATAACAACAAAATAAAATCGGGAATAATCATTAGATTCTCTTTAAGAGCATTCAGAATTTGCAGCCCTCGGTGTATACACAAGGAGGAGAAATACACTGAAAAGATTTTCAAGCATCTCCAATACCCTAACTATTTCATATTTAATGTGAAACAAAAGGCCACTAAAATATTCAAAAATAGGAAAGTAGCCTCTCCTGACAAACCCAAGGAATCCAAAAATATATTGTTCTACGCATTAACTCTATTACAACTACATTTGACGGAATTTATCTAAACTCCTACATCTAAAGCAATAAAAGACTTAGTCAATACAAAACAAAACAATAAGCTAAATTTGAGAGAGGAAATTACTCTATCACCTGTAACGATGGCCACAAAGAAATTTAAATAAAAAATTATATGAACACAAAAGGGATACTTTACAAAACAACTTATTAAACGCACTAGTTGCTCATCGTAATGATATGGTCCAAAATTTTGAAATGAAAAATGCTACCATAATCAAATCAGGAAAGATGTCACTGAGACGAAAATGTATAGAAAGTGCTTTAATCGCTAGATTATCCACAGTAAATTTGCGCTTAGGTTCTTAAACCGTTTCGCTATTCTTGGCAGATTTTCTATTATCATAATGTGGGATATTAAAAAAGAAAGGTGGTGGGAACAAAAAAAAATAATCAAAATGATATCGGATAGATTAGATATTCAAAACTAATATAAAAATAAAATTTAAACTTAAAATTTCCCGCGTCTTTCGAACATGCGCATGATTAGTTACATCAACGTAAACAAACTTAGTCCGATGAAGACCTAAAGGATAAATCGTGTCACATGAAAACATTTTCCCTTTGTCATACGTCATCCCCCAAATTGTTCAATATATAAAAATGTATATATGGCTGGACTATATATATATATATATATATATAAGTGAACATTGAAGTCAACACTCAGAGGTGACAGGCTGTTTCATGCTAGGCGCAATCGTCAGGCCGCTTCACTTTTATATTTATATTTACATACGCTCTATCTCTGATATTGAGAACTTTACCCCTTAAATATAGCACACTTTAAAACTATATTTCTTCATATATATATATATATATATATATATTAAAAGAATGTATTGAAATCCAATAAAGCGGAAATAAAAAAATTAACAATCAAAACAGAGACTGATGAACCGTTTAATTAATCCGTGCCGTTTATATATCTATATTTTTACACGTTCAGTTGTATCTATCATTCATCACTTTTTGCTCAATATCTTTTCATGTTAAATATTTTATGATAGTGAAATGAAAATATCTCTCGGAAGAAAAAGATTAGCCACAGAATAACAAAGACGGAGACGGCAAATTGAATGAAGACGTTTACATAATAGACAAAGTTCTCTGAATGTCTCTCATAAAAGGTTTGAACAAATACGAAGAAATGTAGGAATGATGAAAGTGATTAATTAGAAGATTCATTTTGCTCGGCAACTATTTTTGTCTAAATGCAGATAAATCTTTTTATTTGTATAGATTATTAAAACCGTTCATAATTTTTCTAACAAAAGTTGATTTACCACACTTTCTACTACAGATGGGACAGGAAATATATGAATAAATACATCAGAAATATACAAACACATACTTATTAATACTTATTATATGGTTTGATATATGTGATAAAAAATATGTGTGTATTTATTACTTCTTAAACAAGTACTTCTTTATCTATTTTTAAACAGGTATTACGTCTATCGGGCTGCGCATTCGGGAAAACTGGATAATGATATTTCTAGGGCACATAATAAGGAAAACGGCTCTGTAAATTTTGGTATTACCAGAAAAGATAAGAAGACAGAGGTAAACAACGCTTTAACCTACCTAGCAAGCTGTTATATACCTATGTACCTATGAACACTTATGGTTATTTCTCAATCCTCATAAATATGTTGGACACTATTGTAAGTGGGGGTATTATACTATCTAATTGTCTGTATGCTTGGGTCAGTGCTTGTGGCTAGCTAAGTTTAAATTAAGACAGATGAAGACCGTCCTTTTCCACATCTCCCTTTTAAGGCCTTGTGTCACATTTTCTGTAATTTTACAGAAATAAATGTTGTATTATGCTATCTAAGTAGTCCACCATTAGCAGTGGTTTACCTATTTCAAGCCGCTGGTAAGTATTGTATTTTGTGGTCGTTATAAAGATTACTATTTCATTCCCAACGTCCATTTTGGTTATTCCTCATTCAGTAACCTGTTATTGGTTACAACACGAGTTAAGGATGAAAAGATAATATTTATTAAGAGCTACAAAGGAAAAGAAATTCCATAAAATGTTAGATTTGATTGTTTACCGGTATGTCAACTCTTTGTGGGTCATTTGATGCCGAAATTTACTTTTCTTGAGACCTTTGAAGTAATTTAATAATTTTACTATAATTATGGATTGTTGGTAAGTTTTTGATATAAAAATGTATCACTGAACAATGAGGGATACCATGAAAAAATTCAATCAAACGTTACACAAAAAAAAAACTGGCATCCTAAAATATACAATTTGTCAAGAGAAAGCTTCAATTAGAAACTTTTTGTTAAAAGGAACGATATTGAAATAATGCTTTATTTAACTGAAAGCTTCACTGAAATTTGATTTGTTTGTTTAACGGCATATCAACACTTTGTGGGTCATTTAATGCCGAAATTTACTTTTCTCAGAAACTTTGAAGAAATAAAAATATGATAATAGATATTGTCGGTAAATTTGTTATAAATACGTATTTTTGGTATGTTTTATATAAAGTAACTTCTGCACAAAAAACTGAAAAAAATGATTTTAAAAATGTCAGAATAATGGTAAACAAGCACAGATGTGGCTTGCTTCTGTTATGCAACTATTTTTTGTTCTTTGATTTAGATTTCGCATGTGATATCAATTTTGGCCAATTAACAATTTCAGAAGTATTTTCCCCTCATTCAGGAATAAAATTAGGAAAATAAAGATGTGTTTGCTGATTGAAAGAAAGAAAATTTACCATCCCTTTTAGAATTATTGGTTTGGTTTGGTTTTTCATACCTTTTTTTTATTCCCCCCCCACTTCAAAGGACTTGACTAGCCGCACTTTGACTTAAATATATAATGGCACCAACAAAGTTCACTCCGGCTGCAATGATAAAAACAGGAAACCATCGGCCATGTGACTGAGTGACCAATTCTGCAGTTAAAGGACCGCACGTTATAATGGTCGCCTGAAACACAAAAAAGAAAGTTTTAAAAAGATAAGAATTTTAAAAACACCTGAACAGGTGTCATGAAAAAATACAAGCAAACATTATTGAAAATAACTGACACCCTAAAATGTACTTTAATTTGTCAAGAGAAGGCTTCAATTAAAAACTTTTTGTTAAAAGGGACGATATTGAAATAATGCTTTATTTAACTGAAAGCTTTACTGAAATTTGATTTTTTTGTTTAACAGCATATCAACACTTTATGGGTCATTTAATGCCGAAATTTAATTTTTTTTTGGGGGGGGGACTTTGAAGTAATAAAAACATAACAGGTATTCTTGATGATTATAATAATTTGGTTTATTATAAATACGTATTTTTGGGTTATTTTTTATATTAAAATGAATTACTGGTATTTTTACTATAAAAATGTATTTTTATACTTTCATAGTGTTTTCTTTTTGTTTGGAGATTGACGATTTGCCCATAGCTGGGACCCTAACAGGTGTTACCACCCCGGGTCGGAGTGGACCTGGGAATAATAGCAATTAAGAGGTGGTTCCACACTCCTCAAAACCTCCAATCTACCGATCAGAGACCTTGCTGTCGGATTTAGTTTATCGGCATATCCAGGACTTTCTGGAAAACCATAATCACCATGTGTGTGTTTGTGTGTGTGTCCAGGCACGCGTGTGTGAACGTGTCTGTGTGTTAGATAGAAAGATAGAATCAAATCAGACATGAAAATCTGGAAACATCCTAACAGAGGCTTTAAATGAAAGGCACAGTTAAGCCAATAAACAGATTTTTTTCGATTCTGGTTCTTATAGAAGAGTTTACAATTTTTGCTTTGGTTTTCCAATTTTATTTTTATTTTTATTTTTTTGTACGTGCCTCGTGCTCCCCCTACTTCTAGAGAATATCCACCAAAGCCTAAAGAGGCATTTTTAAGAACACAGTTGCAGTTTTACCGACAGTCATACGGCCATGTTTATTTGATTCAGC